TCATCAATATGTCTAACATTGTTCACTCTGTCTTACTGATACCCTGAGACCCCACTCCACCACCTTTCAGACCCACCCAAGCAGCTTCCAGTAGCTTTCCAGTAAAAAGCCTGTCTTGGATCATGTTGTGGGGATTCCTAATATCTCTCAGTTTTACAAACTCTGAACAAGCAGCATCTGGCCTAAACATGCTCCATACCTTTTGCTAAGCAGCCCCAAGCCTAGCACTAGTGGTAGCCAGCCTCATTTTACAGCTTAGCCACTTCTAGGCATCTCTAATTGCAGCATGAGCAGCAACCATCTATAGATTACTTTATAGCTCTTACCAAGTGACCCCAGGCCAGGCATAGGCCATGGCTGACTTTGGTCTGCACTAGAGCCTCTTCCTAGAATGCTCAGAACCAATACATCTAGTGGTCAGCATCAGACCACAGTAGAGCACTAGCCAACCACCTCCACAAATGACTCACCAAAAAGGCAGACTCAGCAGGCACCAGAGCCCTGGTAAAGTAAATCAAAGGTCCATAAGATCAGCCCCTGCACAAGAAGCTCCTATACTGTATTGATGGCCATTCCTCACAACCAATCATCCTGAAGGTCAATCCCTCCCATTCATATGCCAACAGCAATCAAGGCTCAACTGCAACAGGAGGTACACACACTCCATACAAGAACACACCTAGAGCACCCAGCTTGGTAACCAGGAATGTGCCACTGGGCCCCACAGGACATTTACTACATAAAGCCACTCTACCAAGATCAGGAGGTGCAGCAGCTCTACCTAATATAGAAACAAACACAGGGAGACCTTCTACTGGAAAAAGGGAAAAACATAGATGTCCCAAATGAAAGAACAGAACAAAACTCAAGAAAAAGAAATAAACAAAATGGAGACAAAATCTACCAGATGCAGGGTTCAAAACACTGGTTATAAGGATGCTCAGTGAATTCAAGGGAAGACTAGATGATCCAGCAGAGAAATAGGAAATATAAAAATAGAGATAGAAAGCAAAAAAAGGAACCAGTCATATATAAAGAATACAATAACTGAAATGAAGAATACATTAAAAGGAATCATCAGTAGACCAGATGAAGCAGAGGATCACATCAGTGATTTGGAAGACAAAGTAGCAGGAAACACTCTATCAGAACAGAAAAAAATCCACCCCAAATGAGGATAGTTTAAGGAGCTTCTGAGCCAATATTAACTGTACCAACATTTTCATTATAGTAGTGCCAGAAGGAGAAGAGAGAGTACAAGGAATTGAGAACCTATTTAAAGAAATGATGATGGAAAATTTTCCTAACCTGACAATGAAAATAGACATACAAGTCCAGGAAGTACAGAAAGTCCCAAACAAGATAAACCCAAAGAAGCCCACACCAGGTCGCTTCAAGCAATAATTAGAAAACCTAAGGTTAGATAAAGAGAGAATGTTTTTTTATGATTTAATTTATTTATTTTTAGAGAGAAGGGAAGGGAAGGAGAAAAAGGAGAGAAACATTGATGTGAGAGAGAAATGTCAATCAGTTGCCAAAGAGAGAATCTTAAAAGCAGTAAGAGAAAAGCAGTTAGTTACCCACAAGAATGCTCCCATAAGACTGTCAGCTTATTTTTCAACAGAAACTTGGGAGGCCTGAAGAAATGGCACAAAATATTTGAAGTGATGAAAAACAAGGATCTACACCAAAGATTGCTCCACCCAGCAAAGCTGTCATTTAGAAGCAAAGTACCAAGAGCTTCCCAGATAAGAAAAAGCTAAAAGAGTTCATTATCACCAAACCAGTATTGCAAGAAATGTTAAAGAGACTTCTTTAAGAGAAAGGGAGAAAAATATTTTTAAAATGTGAATAATAAAATGTCAATAACTACATACCTATCAACAATTACCTAAATGTAAATGGATTAAATGCTCCAATCAAAAGACATGAGATAGTTATATAGAGAGGAAAAAAAAAGATCTACACATATGCTGCCTATGAGACCCACTTTAGATAAAAAGATACAGACTGAATATAAAAGGATAGAAAAGATATTTCATGCAAATGGAAATTTTAAAAATCTGGTGTAGCAATATTTATATCAGACAAAAATAGACTTTTTAAAAAAGGCTATAACAACCAGGACCTAGCAACTCTAATTCTGGATATTTATCTGAAGAAACCCAAAACACTAATTCAAAAAGACATATGCATCCCTATGTTCTTTGCAGCATTGTTTACAATAGCCAAGATATAAAAGTAACCTAGATAGCCATTGAAAGACAAGTGGATAAAGAAAAGGTGGTATATGGATACAATGGACTATCACTCAGTCATGAAAGTGATTGAAATCTTGCCATTTGCAGCAACCTGATTGACCTGAAGGGTGTTGTGCTGGGTGGGGTGGGTCAGACAGAGAAGAAAAGGTGCCATGTGATTTTGTTTATATGTTAAATCTAAAAAAACAAGATAAGCGAACAGACAAGGGGGAAGCAGACTCGTAGATACAGAAAACGTTTTGATGGTTGTTAGATGTAAGGGGATTGGGGGATGGGTAATAAAGAGAAAGGGATTAAGATGTGCAAATTGCCAGTTATAAAAACACTCATTAAGATGTAAAGTACAGTATAGGAAATAAAGTCAACAATATTGTAGTAATTATGTATAGTGCTAGCTGGGTACTAGACTTCTCAGAGTGATCACTTTGTAAGTTATGTAAGTGTCTAGTCATTATGTTGTATAATTGAAACTAATATAATATTATATGTCAACTGTAATTGAAGAATTAAAAATATTTTTAAAACTTTGCCTCATATATAATTTCATGAAAATATTAATCAGAATGCCATCTATCAAAATAAGGACATTAACCAAAAACAAGAAATAAGTTCCAGAAAAAAAATCACAATATAGTAGAGTGGAAAAAATTGGAGGATCGAATAAAAAGGAAAAGAACAAGTCATGATTGGAGCAGAACAGAAAAGAATGCTTGGGAGACATCTCCACAGGGAAATAATGGAAATTTTAGAAATCAGATGCCATGGACCACATGAAAAACTATTTTTAGAAGATTTTTGAGGGTCTAGGAAAACAATCCTCAATAAAAAGAACAACAAACATATGAAATACAGAGTAGTCACTATCCATAAGAAAAAGTGATTTAGAGAAAAAGAGAAATATAATCTTAGGACTCTACTTGGTTCAACAGCCAGTAATATTTACCTACTCCAAATAATGTAAATATTGGCTGTTGAATTCATAATGCTTTAGCTATGTTGAGAGAATAAGAGGGAGAGCAGTACAGAGGGAGGGGGTACTAGTGAGAAGAATCCTAATCAACCATACTAGTAAGTTAATAAATAAATAGGTAAACAAAGAGGTGGTAATATATGAATGTCACTTAGAAATATGTAGCCAAATAGCAGATAGAGCTTAAGAATTGTAAGTGGTTGATTTTGGAGAAAGGGGTGGAATAGGGAGGGAAGGAGTAGTAGAGCTATTTTTATTTTAAGACTTTTAGCACTATTAGATTGTTAAAACTATCTGCATGTATTAGTTCATAAACATAGTTCATAAACATAAAAATGAATAATTTTAATAAATAATTTCAATGAAAAGATAAATGATAATATGATAAAAGAATGAAACTGTTAAGTATCCAGCTATCAACAAATATTAAGTTCCTACAATCACTAGCACAATGACACCACTGCACTAAATTATATATGCAGCAGATACCCTTTTGGTTGGAAGAATTTCTTAAAGTAGAAGCTTCCTAGTCTTTTCTTTATACATGTTAAGCAATGTTCTTGCTTAACTGCTGTGCATTGAGCTGTAGTACAGAATAATTAGATAAGGTATAAAATGTCTTGAATAAAATTGCAGAGTCCAAATGTCCAAAGTAACAAAATGGTCTCAATAAAAGAGCAGTCTGAAAAAGGTTTCTCCCTGACCAGTGTGGTTCAATTGGTTGGGCATCATCCCGTAAAGCATAAGTTTGGGGGATTGATTCCTGGTCAAGGCACATACCAGGGTTGCAGGTTCAGTGCCTTGTCAGAATGTGAGAAGCAACTGATTGATGATTCTCTCTTATGTCGATGTTTCCCTCTCTTTCTCCTTTGAAAGAAAGAGAGAGAGAAAGAGAAAGGGAGGGAGGGAGGGAGGGAGGAGGGAGGGAGGAAGGAGGGGGGGGGGGGGGGGGGGGAAGGAAGGAAGGAAGGAAGGAAGGAAGGAAGGAAGGAAAAGGAAGAAAGGAAAGAAAAGAAAGAAAAAATTTAAAGGAAATCAAAGCATCTTGTACCTAATTTTTATATACCAGCTCTTGTCCAATCTATATTGATAAAATGATTTTTGGAAAATTAAATTAATTCCAGAAATCAATCTCTCTAGTTTTCCTTTGTAGAATTATAGTGTTTTCAGTCAAAGTACAAATTAAAAATTGACAATACTGCTTTTGTATGGGACACTGTGGTGAATGAGAGGCTGCTCTTGGTTTGGAGAGAAAAAAGATAACTGTGGTTCCAGCTGCCCTAGTCCCAAGATGACAGCACTAAAGTGCAGTGTATTTGCATGTCTGTAACCTATACATGCCACATCATTGTACCTTGGTGCATCAGTTAGGATGTTCTAGTCTATGAGATGCAAATTAATATTTTTTTCCTAATACAGAAAGACCTCTATTTAAAGTAGAGGTAGAAAGGTATAAACTAAAGAAAAATAGCAAGGTTTTCAGGATATTAAGCAGGAATATATATATAATATATATAAATATATATAAATATATATATAATGTCCTTGCTGAATATATATCATATTATATATAATATATATCATAATATACATTATGACATATATATTCAGCAAGTAAATAGTTTTAGAAAGGAGAAGGGATTAAGGAAACGGACATGCTATATGCTATACTGGCCCTATAGCATACAGCCCTATACTGGGTGCTTTTAAAAATTGTAATAAATAACATATAGTAGTTATTATCCCTAATTTAAAATGAAGTACATTCAGTGCTCACCCTGGCCGTACATATCCTAAAATTGGGACAATACAAAGAAGATTATCACGGCCCCTGCACAAGGATGACACACAATTTTGAGAAAAAGAAAAGAAAAGAAATAAAATAAAATACATTCAGTTTCCAAAGTACAATAAGAATGGCAATTTGAATCTGTCTTTATGACTGTAAGATTGAATTACAGATATTAAGCACAGCACCAGCCAGTTCATAATACCTTCTCATGAAAGCTTCTGTAGCTCACAATGATTTTTTAATCTGTCCATAATCATTCTTCCTCCTTCTGGTAAGAGAAGTGCATCATTCTGGGTTCAGGGGAAGGAGAAAAATGACTAATAAGTGTTAGGATAACAAATTATCACATGCTTGTGAATAATATTATTTATGGCAATTAATCACATGGTGGTAAATGATACTTATAACTGCCTTCTTCTACTAGTCATTACATGTTGCCATTTTTCTCAAATGCTTGTGTTTCCTAATCTGATAAGATGATCCAAACCTTTATTTCTGAAGAGTCTGTGCCATTATCAGTCCTAACTTTATTGGTTTGCTGTAGTGTTCCATTAATTTTTATCATAGGATATGGGAGTACTAAGAGGTATCCCAGAGCATCTTCTGTGTTCCAGACATACTTCTCTTTATATCATTATGTAGCAACAACCTACTTTCACCTTAATAGTATTAATTACCCCATACAGTACTGTAATTTCCCTTTGCCTGTTGGTTCACTGAGTTGCCCTAAAAGCCAGGTAATTTCCAGTCTAATGGAATTAATGTGTCCGTTTGTGGAATATTTTTCTTTTGGTAACTGATACCCCCAAACCAGCAAAGCCTGAAGTTGGGAGATAAGAAACAAAAAAATTCACTAGTGGAACCTTAAGTATAACTACAAAAGGAGGTACAGCCATTTCCAGCCCTTGATTTTGAGATTTATGAATCCTAATTTTGTCATATACTCAGAGCATATACTGCAAACTGGAGGACATATCTCAGCCCCATCCTGATGAGCCTTCAAAAGGCGATTCTTGGCTTCCAATTTGGGCTCAGAGATATAAGGAGATGGAAACAGTGTCACCCTTGCAACAAGAAAAATAAGCTGGGCATTCAGTTACTCTTTTTTGGACCTATATGAGAACTACAGTTACAGAGCAAACAGCCCACCTGAAATCTGGAGAGATACAGAGAAATACCGAGATCTGACCACTTCATTACCTTGGGCAGATGTTTCCAGATGTCACATAAGCCAGTAAGAAGATGCAGCTAGAATTTTTCAAACCAAATTGTTAAGGTTAGATATGGGCTAAAATAAGAGTGATGCTCCTGAGAGACACAGACCTGTAGGGGATTGCAGACTCTTGTAGGTTTTTCCTCCAAAAATCCAACCAGGGTCTCATAAGGAAGAGTGGGGGGAATCCAGAGAAAGATTCCTTCACATTGCTGGCTGGGGGAGGACAACAGCAGCCACTGCTGAAACCCAACTCTCTTATCTCTTCTATGGAACAAAAACTTAGTTTTCAATAGAAAAAGCAACAAAAATAGTAGGACAAAAAAATTCTCTACCCCTAGGAAAAACAGGAAGGTATGCTAGGTCTAGTACTACATCTCCAGGAGAGAAAGGGCCACTTATGAAGTTCAAACCTCAAGACTCAAGTTTACAGTGCCCACTTAGAGCTGTGTCATAATGTGAACGTCATAGGATGTTCCCCTCTTTTACCCATCACCATATGTTAAAGTGATTTGATTTGTAAAATAATAGTAGAATATGTCTAGAAGAGCTACAAAAGGCAGATTCTCTTTGGAAAGTAGTGCAGAGGAATACATTATGATCAAAATTTTTAAAAAAACACAGTAATGGAGATGAAAATGGCTTAGATCAGCTCATCAGTAGACTTAGTAGAAGTAAGCAGAGAATAAAAAACTTCGAGGATAGGTCAATAAAAATTACCCAAACCGAAATGCAAAAATAAAAATAAAACAGAGCAGAATATCCAAGAGATGTGAGACAATATCAAATGGTCTGATATATGCATAATTAGAATCACAGAGGTAGAAGAAAGAACATGGCAGAATATTTGGGCAAATAATGCTTAATTTTAAAAAAATTAATGACAAACAGTAAGTCACAGATTTAAGAAGCTCATCAAACACCAAGCAGAATAAATATCAAAACCACATATCTTAAGTATATCATATTAAAATATCTGCACACCAAATATTTTCAAACAAAAATGTTGAAGGCATCCAGCAAAAAATGATACATTACCTATAGAGGGACAAGGCTTAGAATTATAGCACGTCTCATAAAAAACTATGAAAGCTATAAGAAAATAAAGTAATATCTTTCAAATGCTAAAAAGAAAAAAATCAACCCATAATTCTATACCCAACAAAATTATCCTTAAAAATGAAGAAGATACAAAAATGTCCTCAGACAAATAAAAACTGATTCTATAAGATTAACATATCGTGATGCTTCATTTGCTGTAAACTTAGTTCATTGGCCAGAAGCAATATTCTCTGGAATATTGTGATTAAGGCATCTGTAAATATATGGATTGTAGTGGTTTGGACAGAAGCATTTCAAAAGTTCTGCTTCCAGACAGATGTAGTGTCTCACAATGCCTAGTCTCACAGTCTTGCTAGAGAAATGGGCACATTATATACACAGGACAGAACTCCAATTCTCACCTTCAGTGTGTTTGAAACCTGAGATAAACTCAAACAAAATAAACTTACAATCCAAACCTAATAGAGCACATTTAAATACATCAGAGCAATGTCTCTTATTCGAGTCTCGTGACAATAAAAAATATACACTTCCTGGAACAAAAATAATATTTCAGTCTCCATTAATTTTTGAATGTGCAATGTTCAACATACAATAAAAAGTCAAAGACATACAAATATGAAGGAAAATATGATGTAACCAAGAAAAAATATAGCCATTGTAAGCATACCCAGAGAGTGATCCGTATATTAGAATTGGGAGATGAGGACTTTTAAATCACTATTATGAATGTGTTAAGAAAATAAATAAAATGGGCTTGAGTAAGAAGGTGGGCTTGCTCCAAAAGTGGATTTGCAGAATTTGCCATTTCAGGGTTGGGTGACCTCCTCCTTCTGTCAGGTTATTTCACAACTATCTCTTGGCCTGTGGCTGTGGGGACAAGATGGTGGTGTTGCTCATTACCACCACCCCAGGAAGGTCATATAGCAGCCAAACCTTAATCAACAGTTGAAATCTGCTAGGGAGTAGGTGGTTAGAAGGGAGATAAGAGCAGCTTCCTCTGCATTCTTAGAAGGGAGTGGAGGGGGCGGTGACATTCCTGAGGCCAGCTTACCTGGCTTTCCTTCTGACCACCTGGTTTTAACTTGGCATCCTGGCAACCCAGTATTTTCTATTCCCCAGACCCAAGTCCCTATTCTGTTTTACTATCTTCCAGCTACTCCATCCTCAGCACGGACCTTTCACCTCATTGGTCTAAGATGGATGCTTGAGTGAAAGACATTATGCTCACATTTGTCTTGTGGGAAACTATGTTCATGAAACAGCAGCCTCTAACTATCATGCAAGGCTATCACAGAGGTCATGGAACAAAAAGGCCTACAGACCAAATAAAGATGCTTGAATTCTGTGGTTTATTAAATCAATTGAAAACACAGAAAGAGAAATAAGGAAAAAGAGATGGGACCATTTAAAGGGTTTTTGTAGTTATGTCAGGCCCACTTGTATTGTCTCCCTATCTTAAGATCAATTTATTTGGAATCTTAAATACATCTGAAAAATCCCCAAGGTTAAGACACTCAGGAAATAGTGCGAGCACAGAATACGGTTAAGGTGGAAGGTTCACACTGCCTGAATCCTGGGATACACAATGTTCATATATCCTTTCTCACTACCACATCAATCCTCCCCTTTGATGGTGTAATTGTGAGGAGCAGAACTGGACTTTGAGCAAGGGAACTTGGCAGACAGAAGGTGTCTGGAACTGGCACACTCATTTGCTCTATTAATAAGAGGTTAAGTGTGAGTATGTCCTGCTACAAATTGCAGTTCCCTAATTAGTCTACTGAACAACTATGTTATTTATATTTGTAGGGCAGAGAATATGTGAGGCCAAAATGGACCATGATGAATATGTATTAGTTCCTACTCATAACTGTATTAGTTCAAGTTCCTATGTAACAAAGCAAATTTGGCAGCTTAAAATGATAACCATGGAGACAACTATACTTGAACAACAATTTTTTTAAAGAATAATAAAAAAATTATACTGCCAAAAAAAACCAATAACCATTTATTAGTCATACTTCTGTAAATTTGAAGTCTGGCAACTGCCAGACTTCATGATCAGATTCTCTGTTCAAGGTGTCACAAGGCTGAAATCAAGGTTCAGCTGGGCTGAGTTCTTATTTGAGGCTCTGTGGAAAATCTGCTTTCAAGCTCATTTTTCTTTTTAATAGAATTCATTCAGCTCCTTGAAGTTGTAGGACTGAGGCTGTTGTTTCCTCATTGGCTGTCTGCTAAGGATTGCCTGCTCTTGGCTCCTAGAGACTGCTCACATTCCTCACCATGCTCCGCCCCAGTGCCCCGTGCCCCACCTGTCTTCAAAGCAGGAATGGTACCTCAACTCCTCATGCTTTGAATCTCTGGCTTTCTGTCTGGTACCTCTAAGACGTAGACTTAAAAGGGCCTTGTAGTTAGGTCAGGCTCACCTGGATAGTCTCCCTATCTTAATATCAACAGATTTGGACACTTAAATACATCTGCAAAATCCCTTCATGATATCACTTAAATTACTGTTTCATGAATAACTCAGAGAAAATGTGTACATACCAGGAGCCAGAAATTTGAGGGGCCATTTTAAAATTCTGCCTGTTGCAGTAGCCAACTTAAGAATGACATAGCTGTCAGCCTAGATATGTGTGTGTAATTTGTGTCTTGATCTTTTCACCCTTTTCCAACTATAATAGCATTGTTCTGTCACTAACTACATATAACTATATTAGTTATATGTAACTTTAACATGTCTTACAAGTTACTAACTTACTTAAAATCTAAATTTAGCCCTAGCTGGTGTAGCTTAGTAGATTGA